CAGGAGATTTGTATTTTCAGACTTGCAAGATTCTGTTAATGTAGCCTTACAATAAAGTAGAATTATCTCATTTAGTTGTGTTTCCTGTCTGGTTTACCTGGGAGGGCTGACAATGTCTGAGCAGAGCAAGAAAGAGAAGCAAGATTTTTATTCTCTTTTTAGAAGAGATTTCTGACCTGAGGCAAAATATTACTAGTCCAGGTAATCCCATTTTGGAAAAATGGGGGGCAAAAAACAAAAAGGTGATCAAATTAACAAAAGTAGATCTGAAAGAGACAAAAGATGAGGGGAGGGAAAATGGTTGGACCAGATAACTTAGCAGCCATTGGGCCAAAGAGGTATTCCCTAAAGCTACTCTTTAGAGCAGACCCTGGAGCTAACAGTGGAACTATTGAAAATGAACTCCTACTCCAATACCAGACTGTCAACTCACTACACATCATGGTTGATGCCAAAAGATCTAGGAGGATCAACAGAGTTGTACCCCATCTGTCTGTCAGGGCAAACAAGACAGCTTGCGTACCAGAAACAAGTCTGAAACCTGACTGGTACCAGTCCAGATAATCCATATCTTCCCAGAACTCATGAGGCTGATCAGCCACCATCTTGCCAAGTATCTTGCTCAAAAAGGTGATAGTTGTGATAGGGTGGTAATTCTCACATACCTTCAGGTCTAGGAATGTTAACTTTGGAAAAGGCTGCACCAGGCACCACTGCCAATTTTAGTCCAGGCACTGCCTGCTTCTGATTTGAATGATATCAACTCTCTGAGTAGATTCAAAGCAATGAAATTCCTGAATGTGAGTGAAAACTTGATTTAATGGACCATTGGGGGGAGGGGGTTCTGTTCTTCCCAAAAATCCATTAAGTATCATCATCACAGACATTTACATCATTTGGATAATGACATCATTACTCCAGTGATACAAATTGATGTAAATATCTGTTATTTCAGGAGGCTTTCCAGATAGAAATTTTGTCCATTGCATCTGGAATCTTGTAAATAAGAGCCCATTACACTAAGATTTCACTGTAGTTGTTTCTAAATAATGATTGCAAGGCCCAATTTCCTTTGAATAGCACTTTGGAGGTTTTAACTCCCCCCCCCTTTGATTTTTTAAAAATTCTGTGTTTATTGAATTACCTAATCAAGTTCTATATAGCTTTCCATGTGGTTACTTGTACTGTTTTTGCTCAAATTTGAACTGTTAAAATCAAAACCTGATAGCATGTGGCTTTCCCATGGTAGAATTTTAAAGCTGCTTTGAATAAATCAATATATTATTTTTAATTGGATAGGAAAATGAGCATCTGTTCTAAGAAGTGGGATTTTTTTGGCCAAAATGTAATTTGAAATGAAGCCATGGAAATACTGTCATGTAAACCCCTTGAATAGCTTCTGTTTTATTCTTCTTTTTGTCCTTCTCTTGCCTCCCCAGTACCGCCTGTTATAAACTGCACTGTTCACAATGACACCATTCAATTAAACTGTACATCAGCAACTCAAGATCTATCTTTATATTACTCTTGGGATTACATCAGACCTGAAGACATCTATACAAACCTGTCGGTTATTCAGCTTCGGAGGAACTCGGCCCATTTTCAGAAAATTACTTGTTATGTTACAGCTTTCAGTTCAAATGCCAGCAAATCCTTCAATCTGAGTGACTGTATTCCAGAAGGTAGGTTTTTGGATTATATAGTCTATGGTTCCTTTTCAGGAAATTGGTTAAAACCCACACAAGGAGGTTGCAGTCTGATTAACTGGTATCATGGAAATATGGCAGTTCTTAATTTTGGGGATTGGTCAACAACAGTGAATCGTCTAGAGAGGTATCTTGCCTATTCAAAGAAGATTTATGTAAGTGGATGACAAGATGGAGATGTCCAGTCACTAAACATTCATTTCCCACAATAGCAAAGACAAGATGCTATTCAGGCTAAAAGAAAAATTATTTTGAATGAAGAATTTAAGAATGTAAAGTAAAAGGGCACTTAAATAGAGGAGGGGTTTTGATCACATAATTGTGGCCATCTTGGCCAGTTTGACCTCCCCTTCCCACATGGTTCTCTTGGAAGTGAGGATCTAAGCTTCAATAGAAAAAAGTATTTTTTTGAACCCATAATTTTCTGTTCCAGTCATGCTTAATAGCAGAAAAATTAATGAAGCTTAAAAATACAAATTAGCAAATAAGTCAACAATATATTTATTTCTAGAGGTTACAAATAAAAAGCTTGTTTCACAGAAAGGGAATTGGTGATATTCTGAATATTTAGAACATATCACTCAGTAAGTAACACTCAGAATATACACATCAACATGCGTATGTGCAGACACGTGATAAAACATACAAATACATCTTGAAAGCACACAAAGTACAAACAAAATACTTCTCTAATTCCCTATGTTCATTTACCCCTATGTTACCTTTTTCTTTTTTCTGGGTAACTGGCCCGATTTCCAAATGAAACACTGGGCTATCCATTTTTATTCTTTATGAAAAGCCAGCTTAGAAATGAAGGCATTGCTGCAGACAAGCCAAAGCCCTAGTTTTTTTTTTCTTCTCTAAAAAAAGATAAATAGATCAGGGTAACAGGTATATAGACACAACATTTATAGTATTAAGTGTAATAACCTCCTAAATTTCATAGTACAGGTAATTCTCACTGGTGCTGAAAAAGGAGACTTACAACCTGTCCTCGAAGTTGTGGTCACTGCAGTGTCCCTGAGGTCACAGGATTGCGATTCGGGTGCTTGGCAGCTTTTTGTAAGTTCTTTTGCTATGAAAAACAGTGGACCCATCCTCCCACACTTCTGTGGATGCCCCAAAATACACAAGCCCGACATACCTGTTCGTCTAATTGTATTGTTACCAGGGACCCCAACATACAACATAACAAAAGAACTTACAAAAAAGCTTGGACATCTCACAGAGGGAGTGAATGTTCTATCAACTCCCCACTACAATGCCTCCTGAAAATCAAAGGCTTAAAATGAAGATGAAATTATGGTTTCATTTGATGTCAAAGCACTCTTTACATCCATAGACCCAGAACTAATGAAAGAATCTATGGTAGCAGTACTACACAACACACCCAACCTAACCAAATATACTAAAATCGAAATACCCAAAATCATGGACCTCATCAACCTCTGCCTTACTACCTACTTTCAGTTTGATGGACAAATATATCAACAAATCAGAGGAACACCCATGGGATCACCATTCTCAGGATTCATAGCAGAGACTGTAATGCAGAGTCTAGAAACTATAGGACTCCTACGTATACAACCAAAAGTATGGATCCAGTATGTAGATGATAGCTTCGTCATAATAAAAAAAGAACAACTAGAGAAGACACACAAAACAACCAACATCTTCAAAGAAATAAAATTCACAAGGGAAGAAGAAAACAATATCACACTACCCTTCCTGGATATCCTCATCAGCAGAGGAAATGACAAATTAGAAACACAAGTCTATCGAAAAACAACCTACACTAATCAAGTACTCCATTACCAAAGTAACAACCCAACCTCCCACAAGAGGGGTTGTGTAAGAATATTATTCAGACAAGTACAAATGCACTGCAACAACCCAGAACACCAAAAAAAGGAAACAGATTGCCTATACAACATCTTCCAACAAAATGGATACCCACGCAACTTTATCAAAAAGTGCCTGACTACTAACCCGCTACAGCACAACCAACACAAGCTATGAAAAGGAAACACTACCATACATCAGAAACATCCAACAGATTACTACAACCACATGGCATCGCTGTAGCACACAAACCAACTAAAACCCTCCAAAACATCTTAAGTCAATCAAAAGACCCAGTAGCCCAAGAAGAAAAAACAGGAATCATCTACAACATACAGTGTAAGAACTGTAACAGCCACTATGTAGGACAGACAGGCAGAAGACTAGCAGAGTACATCCATGAACACCAACTATCAGTTAGAAGACACAATGAAAGCTCCTTAATCTCACAACACTTGGACAGACTCAACCATAGTTTCAACTGGGAAAATATGAGCATCGTAGATCAAGCTAAATCCAAAAATACTAGGGAATTCCTGGAAGCTTAGCACTCAGACACATCAACCATCTAATAGATACTTAGAGATAAACCACATTCACACACCATTCAAAAGCTAAGAAAGCTAAGAGAATAAGAAAGCTAAGAAAGAAACAAAAAGACCAGAAAATATCCTCTCCAGCAGTCTGCACCCAGATAAACCAGGATTAACACCAGACAAACTATCAAGCAGAGAACAATAATCAAGGAACTACCAAGGAAGTGAACAATCAAGCAGAAAACAATACCCTAATCAAGGAGCTACCAAGGAAAAAAACACTAGCAGGGCAAGCTACTGTATATAAACAGGGAGCAAACTCACTAGCACTGATGATGTTACCTAGTTGGGTGATGAAACATCTGCAATCAAACAACCAAGTCAGAGAGCACTGAGGACTCCACAAATCAGGTTTGTCAGCCAGTCCAAAGGTCAGAGTTTCAGGGTTTTTACACAAGCAGGATTCACAGGAACAACATACCAGAGCAGGAGATCAGATGGTTGTTTCCAATAGAGAAACAGGTCAGGGCTACCTCTTAAGTCAGGCTGCAGCCAGCTATCTTTAATTAGGATTGTTACTCCCTTTCTTGGCAAGGAGCCTCACTGAGCATCTTTGATCTGCTCTCCACTCTGCTCGTCAAGTCTGAGAGCCTGGAGGCTTCATCATTTGACTACTCCAGCTATTCTGATGGTGTCTTTGTTTGAGCAGCCTCAGGTGATTCCTGGCTTGGCGTCTCCTGAAGTGGACATTCCACTGATGCAGCTGGAGCAGCTTCTTCAGGGTCAAAGTCTTGAGTCCTGGGCCATGACAATAGTGCTGGTTTAAAGTGGAATTTGCTGTGCCCTGTTGAGCTCTAAGTGATCTCTTGGTATATTCTGTTCATAATTCTGTGTCAAGAATTGTTTGTTTAAGAGCTACCATTGCTTGATCAAGTGCATCAGCCTTTCACTTGAGAACCCCAATTTATGGAATTTGTCATTTATTTGGTGTTTCCAAGAAGAGTGATAATTATCTGCCAGGATAAGATGTAACAGGCCTTAAGACTGAAACTGGGCTTTTAGCCAATACCTGAATGCACACAGACACACCCTTGTTTCGATTTTTATAAACCCAGCCCCCAAACGTAGAGCAACATTAGGCACACATTTTGCTTCCTGAAATAGCTTTCTTAGGAAGCCAGTTTGAACTCTTGCCAGTTTCTCATAGTTGACACCTGTGCCAGCATCTTGGCTTTGAAAAGTATCTTGGTACATACAGAGCAACTCTAGAGAAAAAGAAACTTGTTGCTGAACTCCTCCAAGTGGTCAGAATTACCTGAGAGATACGAATATGTCGCTTCCCTGAACAATGCAGCACAAATTACAGGAACTTAAAACCATGGCCATGTTCAGTTATGTGCCGTCAAGGGCCCAGTGGGACTTTTTGTAGCCCCTTGCAAAACATGTGACCTTTGTTTTCTCTTTTTTTTCAATACAATTTTTATTAAAAGAAGATAAAAACATACGAATTAGTATGAAGAAGAAAAGAGAAAAAAATCAAAGAGAAAGCAAAAAGTGCAAGAAAAGTGAAAGAAAAATAGAAAAGAAAGAAAAAACATACAAAGCAGTGGCTTCCAATATTCTTCACAGCAGTTATAAGTACGGTTATATTTTAACCTCTCTCTCTAAAGTTGCATCATAATACTCTTTTTTCTATAATCTATCCTGCCTAATCATCAAAACCATAAATCACAAGTTCATATTTTTCATTTTTAGGCAAAAAGTCCATAAGAGGTTTCCAGTCACCAGTAAATATAAACAGTGACTGGACATGGACTGTCACTATGGACTGTCACTATGGACAGATAAACAAGAAGTTAGTTTATCCATCTCAAGCAAGATCTGCCAATTTCACCAACCATTCCTTGGTAGTGGGTAATGTCGAATCTTTCCATTTCTATGCATACAATAATCTTGCCACAGTAATCATATATTGAAATAATCTTCCCTGGCTTTTTTCTAGCTGTTTATCTATCAGTCCTAAAAGGAAAAATTCTGGTTTCAATTGAATATTAATCTTTAAAACCCTCTGTATCAAAGTATGTATTTGAATTCGGAATTTTTTAGCTCTTTAGCTACACCAAACATGATAAAATGTCCCTTCATGTTGTTCACATTTCCAACATACATTTGGAGAGCCTTTATGCATTCTAGATCATTTCTGTGGCATCATATACCAACAGTACATAATTTTTTAGAAATTCTCTTTGATATCATAACATGATGTATATTTCAACCCCTTTAACCACATATTTTCCCACTGATCCATCTGTATATTATAACTGTCAGAAGCCTCGCAATTACCTAATCATGGCTGCTAGTTTGCTTGCTTCGGTTCTGCAATTTTAAGAAAAGCGGGGGGGGGGGGGGTAACAGTAACAGACAGAGAAAGTACGGTTCAGGCAGATGCTGCGTTATCTGTTCTCAGGAATGCCAAGGTCGTACCACCGTGAGACCAGGAGGAATGAAACGAAAGCACTATGGGATGGAAAGGGGGGAGTAAGGAAAAGGGGGTTAAGAAAAGGTTGCTGTGTGCAGGCTTTTTAGTTTCAGCAATGCTTTTGAGACCGTACACTTCTTTTCAATAAATGAACTTTTCTTTGGACTTGTCTGAGTCTCAAGGGAATCACCTTTATTGGGAATTGAGTATTGTGGGTTCTCACAATACCCAAAATTCTTAGCCCACTTTATCATACATTCTTTAACCTGTTCTTCCTCTGTTTCAAATTTCAACAAAAGTTTATACATTTTAGCAATTACATATTCATCATCAGTACACAACTGTACTTCAATTACTGCCTTACTTTGCTCCATATCATGTCTTTTTGTCCATTTTGAATCATTCTGATTACTGTAAATGGGAAAACATTGACAGCTATATCCTTTTGCTATTAATTGTTCTCTTGGTTTAATTTTAAATTCCCCTTGGTGATTTTCCAATAGTTCCTGTACATTAACCATTTGTCTTTGTTTGCTGTTTCTCCTCTATGATATGCTTCTTGAGCTGAAATGAAAACATCTTTTTTTCAAGCCCAACCTGAGTTTATATCTATTCCATAATGACCTTTGTTTTCTCATAGTTGATCTGTAAATGAGTGTTCCCTGCAGAAGTGGACCAGTGCTCCCAGGGCTCTTCTAAGGCCTACTAACTTCTGTGATAGTATGAGAGCATCATCTGCATAAAGAAATGTAGATATAGGTCTATTAGCCAGTTTTGGGTAGAATCATTTGCATCATTTTATTTCATTTACATAATTTCATTGGGCAATTGATGTAAATACAAAGAGCATGGGGTTTGATAGGAGTAATACGAGGCAACATTGAAAAAACTTACCGATACCTTATTTGCTGTAGTAAAATCTTTAAAAAGATAAATTAAGATAAAGATTTTTATAAATATTTCTTATCAAATGTTTGATCTATAAGGACTTCGAAAACAATGCAGTAATTATCAGAAGTCAGCATGGATTTGTCAAAATCAAATCTTCCCAGATTAATTTTACCACATTTTTTTTAACTAGTAACTTCTTTAATAGATTATGGAAATACTCTAGACATAATATATCTTTCTATCCTTTTAGCTTTTGTTTTATAACTGGTCTTCCTCTTTCATTTTTAAACAGCTTTTTGATTGTTTTGTTCTGTACTGGTCTTTGACTAAAATAATCTTTGAATGAATATTCAGCAAAGCATTTGATAAAATACCCTTTGACATGCTAATTAGGAAGTTAGTTATGAGAATTATGAGAATTAAACTAATATATAATTAATTCAAAAATTGTACTTCTCATCAGATTAGAGAAGTGGGAAGCCAGAGAATCAGTTCTGGGTCCTCTAACTCTTCAATATTTCTATTAATAACTTGGATGAAAAGGTGGAGGAAGCATTCATCAAATTTGCAGATGACTAAAAAATGGATGGGATAGATAAAAATCAAACTCAAAATGTTCTTGATAGGTTAGAGAAGTGGACTGGAAATAACAGAATGAAATTTAGTCGAGGTAAGTGGAAAGTGGAAGGGTACACGTCTAAGGATGTAGAATACCTGATTAATAAAGATACTTGTAAAAAGTATCTTTGGAAAAGTAGTCGACTGCAGACTGAGTATGAGACAGCAGTGTGACATGGCTGTAAACAAGACAAATAAAATTTTAGGCTGCAACAACATAATTATAATATCTATATCATGGGATATTATTTTACCAGTTTATTCTTCTTTGGTTAGACCCCACTTGTTATTGTTGTCAGATTCAGCTGGCACGGCATGGCACGGCACGGCCAATGCCGCTGCTCAGTTTCACCACCCCTAGTCAAGTTCACCGTCCCAGGCCCAGGCAGCGGAAAAGAGGAAGTCACCGCAAGTTAATTGCCAACAGGTGGTGGTGATTAACTCAGGGCAGGAGCGCATACTTTGTATCATAGCCGGCTTCCCTCAAGCGCCCCAGGCAAAGTGAACCACAGCAGCTCGGAAGCCCAGAAATCAGCGCACAATCAAGAATTCCCGGCTTAGCCTGCAGAAGAAAAGCCCAACAAATGCAACAACCCCATAGACAAAGGACAGCAATCAAGGGGGACAAAGAAACGGGCTGAATCTGCCATTTGGGGGAGGGGGAGAATACAGCAGGCAATCAGTAACCCAGGCAACGGGGAGAAGCGCAGGAACGGGGAATCTATAAAACGCTATGTAATCTGTGCCAAGCCAACCCTGGCTTTGTTTGTATCTACCTGCATTACACCCAAGTAAACTTCTTTTGCTGAACTTGTGTTTCGCGAGAGTTTCATTGGCGCCAAATGTGGTAACTCTTACAATTGTGTCCAGTTCTAGGCAATACATTTTAAAGAGAAATAGAAGCAGGTTCAGGGAAGAGCAATGAGAATGACCAGGGGACTAGAAGCTAAAAACTATGAAGGGAGCTAGAAGAAGCTGGATGTGTTTAGCCTTGAAACAATATGACTGGTTGCGGGGGGGGGGGGGGGGGGGGGGGGGGGGAGGTATATGATAGCATTCTTCAAAGGAAGTCAATACCTGTTCTCTCTCATTCCAGTGTTGGATGGATATGAAGTTATGGATTTAAGTTACAGGAAGACATATTTTGATTGATTGTTAGAAAAAAAAATATTAAGAGCTGTAGGACAGTGGAACTAATTTAGATTCCTGAGGGAGGAGAGGGAGGACTCAATGGCTAATTAGCCCCTTCTAACTCTATGATTATATGAGATTTTGCTTTTTAAATTTGCTTTTTAAATTTTAAAATTGTTTTTTTTTTAATTTGCTTTTTAAGATCTTGAACGTCAATCAAGAAATAATTTAAATTTAATACCAATGCTAATAGTAATAATCACAGGTATAGCAGTAATACTTTTCTGGTTGCTAAAAGGTAAGTGTATTTTTTCACAGTTAACTTTTCTATATCTGTTACCACTCTTTTTCTAGAAATGTGCATGAAATAATAGTTTTGTTCTGACCTGAAAGAAAAAAGAAACTCAAGGAGTTATCTTCAGTGTTTCCTTACTATATTGGAGTTGAGAGATCAAATAGAGTCATAGCTATCATGTTTGGGCTGCAAAAATCCATAAAATCTCTAAATTGGGGAAGCTCTCTGTGGCTCCCCTGTCATGGTCAGATTACTCCCTGGCAACCAGGAGATTCTCTGGTGCTGCCCTCCACCACAGGGGGGTGTTGATGTCCTGTCCTGGTGCCTAGAGGCTGTGGGGGTTTGGATGGGGAACAACATGTTTCAGCTAGCAAGACTCAGTGGCTTGGGTTTGGGGGCCTTCAGGTTCTGGGAATTTACGATCTTTGGTTCTGGATGGGGTTGCAGTGCCCCAAACAGACCTGGTATGTAATCTGTGGGGTCCTTCTGGACTCATGACTCTTGCTCAATGAGGAGGTGGTAGTTGTCATTAGGAGGGCCTTTGTGCAACTTCAGGTTACGTGTCACCTGCACACATTCCTGAATCAAGAAGTTCTACTCTCAGTGAGTCATGCCCTGTTCACCTCCAGAATTGTTTACTGTAACATGTGCTACATGGGACTGCCCTTGAAGAGCATCCAGAAGCTACAGCCAGTGCAAAATGCGATGGCCCAAGCAGTTATGTGCATTCCTCGATCAGTATGCATTGGTTGCCAGTTTGGTTCTGGATTCAATCTAAGGTGGCAATGACCCTACATGGCATGTGTAAGGATTGCTGCATTCAGCACTGAACAAAAACCTCGTGAGACACAGGCTCAGACGAAAGTTAGTTTACTCAGGCAAAATGCGTAATGGTTACAGACAAAGCCAGGATTGGCTTGGGGCGGTTCTTTACAGTGTTTTATAGGATTCCCCCCGACCCTTAGTTACCTCTGGCTTCGCCCCTCCCTCCTTAATGGCAGATTCAGCCAGGTTTCTTTGTCTTTATGACTGCTGCCTTTTGTCTACGTTGGCATTGTAATTGTGGGGCTTTTCTCATGCGGACAAAACCGGGGTTTTTTAATTGGTTGCCGATTGCCTCTGGATTGCTGTGTCCCCGAAGTATTGTAGTTAGCATTGCCTGGGCCATTTGGGGAAGCCGGTTGCGCTACAAGGTATCCGTTTCTGCCCTGAGTTAACTGCCACCACCTGCCGGCAATTAACTTGCGGTTTGCCCTGTTTCCCTTCTTTGACTGCTGGTGCCTGAGGCGGTGTAATTGACTATGGGTGGTGAAACTGAACAGTGGCGCTGGCCGTGCTGGGCTGAATCTGACAGCATGGGGCTGGGTTATTGGGGGACTGCCTCTTCCCAGTTACATCTACCTATCAGGTCTGGTAAGAGAGGCATGTTACGGGTCCTGTCTACCAAGGAATGTCATCTGATGGGACACAGGAGGAGAGCCTTTTCTGAGGCAGCACCTGCGGTTTGGGACACCATTCCCTCCGAGGTTATACTAGCCCCAGCCCTGCTGGCCTTTTGGAAGGCTCTTAAGACATGGTTTTGTCATTGTGTCTGGGGATCAAATGGTGGTATGGAGCCTGTCAGCTAGTTATACAGCATTCCATGTTCTCCATTTACTCTGCTTGTTGCAAGCTGGTTGGGAAGAACCCAAATGGTGATCACATGACTGTGGGACACTGTGATGGTTGTAAATGTGAGGATTGGTCACAAAGCTAGCTTTTTTACACCCTCGTAACTTTGAATGGTTGCTAAACAAGGCAGTTAGTAAGCAAGGACTAGCTGTACTCATCAATACTCTCATTAATAATTTGGATGAAGAAGTGAGGGAAATGCTTATAAGATTTGCAGGTGACACACAGATCTGAGTAGAATAACTAATTCTCCAGAACACAGAAACCAAACTCAAAACAGTCTTAGGCTCCATGGCCTCAGTGCCCCCCTCTATCTCCATAATTCTCTGAGAAAGGGGATAGAAGGAATCACCTAAGACATTGTGTTTTGGGTTTCCTGCAGTTTTTCACATGCCTCCATTGTCTTTGTTCAGGACTTCAATTTCCCTAATGCAGATCATTTTAAAGAATATTTTTGTCTTTATATAACTCCTCCATTTTTACGGTAACTCTCCTTTTTTATATGCAGCTGTGATTTTTTTTTTTTGACAGACATAAAAAAGTATTTAAAGAAGAAGAGAGGGATACTACACAAACCTAGTTCTCAAGATGGGATGTAAAAAGAAATCCAGTTGGAAGAATTTAGTATTTAAACTGCAAGCAGAAACTTTCTTTATATGATGAGTTTCATGTGAATGTGGGGGTACATTCAATCACACTTAGCCCATCTATTTGGTCATAACTAAGTTGAAATATTCAGGATAGGCAACATGACACTTTTCAGAAGTTTTGGGCTGTAGTCCCTATAAATTCCAGCCAATGTATACAATGGAAGTGATTATGAGAATGGTATCCTAAGTATCTGGGGGCAGCTGCCTACCTATTCTTGTGCCCACATAGCACCTCTATGTGAGGCTACCTCTGGAAAGCATTTGGCAACTACAGGTAGTCCTCGCTTACCAACTGCCTTGTTTAGCAACCATTCGAAGTTACAACGGTGTTAAAAAAAAAAGAAGTTTTGTCAGGCCCAGCCCAAGAACAACGATGAAACAGTCCAGTCGAGTACAGTCCCTTTATTTGCTTACACCTTATAGACAGAATCTTGCCAAAGTAAATCTATATATAGCAACTAGTGGATATACCCTGGGAGATTCTAGGGAGTGGCTACTCTGAATCTCTTACTCTTCCCACGCTCCCCCTGCGGACTATGTTGCCATTTGTCTTCTTTCCCCTGCTGGAATGCACCCCCTGCTTCCTGATAGCCTTGATCTCCCACATCACTCTCCTCCTTGTAGATACATTCCATCACAGCTTTACAACCAATCCTTGCATCCCCGTGGTCACATGATTACCATTTGTGCACTTTGCAATTGGCTGTCAACAAGCAGAGTTAATGGAGAATGTGGAAGTTGTAAGGTTTACCCTGTTCAACTCCAAAGAAACTCTCGTGACATGCATGTTCAGCAAAGAAGTTTAGTAGAGTGTAACATAGGTAGGTACAGACGAAGCCAGGGTTGGCTTGGCATAACTTACATGGTGTTTTATAGTTTCCCTGTTCCTGCACTTTACCCCGTTGCCTCGTTACCGATTACCCGCAGTAATCCCCCCTTGCCCAAATGGCAGATTCAGTCCGGTTCTTTT